GCAGCTCTGCCCTCATAGGGTGGGCACAAGGCTCCCAGGCCCGCTGGCGGCTTGGCCCGGCTCAGAGCAGGTGCCCGCGTGGAGCGGTCCAGGGAGAGGGCGGCCGACGGGCCCTGAGGTGCACAGGGTCACGGCTCAGGGGAAGTCCCGGTAGGGCAGGCGGAAGGGGTAGAGCGGCGTGTAGCGGGAGTCATGCCAGAGCAGCTTCTCCTCCAGGAAGGCGACCGTCTCCAGGGTCAGGACCAGGGTCTGGTGTTTGAGCATGCTGTGCACGTTCAGGCCTGGGGGGCGGGGGAAGAGGCGCAGTAGAGGCTGGGGTGCCCTACCGCACCCGGGGTCCCTTTCCCTCCCGTATTCCCCTAGAGGCACCACGGTCTGGCGTGGGGTCACAGATCTTGCAGTCTAGCTGCTCACTGATGGCAAGACCCCGGGCAAGGGACTGTCCCCAACTTGTCATCGAGAGCCTCCTGCGTGCCTGGCCCTGCCCTGCGCTCGGGCTGTGATTCCCACCTCATGCTGGCAGGCACTGACCATGACCGCAGCAGATGTGTAAACAGTGTACTGCGGGAGGCCTGTGCACCTACGGTTAGTCGGGAGGTGGAGGGGGTGGGGGGGGATGGCCAGGGCAGGGAGAGGATGGGGCAAGTCGTGCGGGATCCTGTGGGCCTGGGGAAGAACTTGGGCTTTGACCCAGAGGGAGGTGGGACCCGGAGAGGGCTGGGGGCAGAGGCGGGAGGAGCTGGACTCGGGTCGCACGGGCGCCCTCTGGTGGCCGCAGGGGAGAACAGAGTGCGGAACGGAGCAGGAACCAGGGACCAGGGCAGAGGTGACCCCACCCGTCCAGGAGGGAGATGGGGGTGCTGGGTGGAAAGAAGTGGTCGAATTCTGGATATGTTTAAACTCAGAGCTGACAGGGGGAGGTAGCAGGGACGGGAGCAGAGGGTGACGGCATGCTCTGTGGCCTGAGCCACGGGAAGGAAGGAGTTCTCGTGCCAAGGTGCCTACGAGACCCCCACCCCCGACCCCGGAAGCAGCTGTCAGGGAGGCAGCCAGACCTCAATCAGGACACCAAGAGAGAGCTCTTGGGGCCGAGTCAAGGTAGTGACGGGTGGGATGGATCCCACCTCTCAGCCTCTCTGACTAAGGAGCCAGATGAGCAGAGCCGGCAGCCCTCACGCTTACTCTGTGCCGAGCACCGAGGCCCAAGTTGGGAAAGACGCAACCTCAGAGCCTTTCCTTAAGGATGCCATTTTCCCAATGCTCCGTTTGGGCAAGCTGAGGGCTGGCTGGGGGAGGGTGGCCACTGCCCAAGGCCACTCAGCTGCTGAGTGAGTGGCAGGTATAGAACTTGAACTGGCCCATGGACTCTTGGGGGCCTAGGATGAAGAACCAGGGCCCTCTGCTCACCGACGGCCGGGATCAGGTTGAAGGTCTTGAGCCCGGAGGTGGCGGCCACGGCGTTCTGAGGCATGTCCTCGTGTGCTCTGAAACGGAGGCCAGAAGGTGAGCGCGGCAGAGGACAGCACCCAGCACCCCCACCCCCGCTCTCCCCGCACCCTCACACGTCCACCAAGAGCACGGAGTCCCCCCAGTGGCGGTAGCGGGCCAACTCCATCAGGTACTGGGGGTCCGAGGTGGGCAGCTCCAGGGAGTCCACGATGTGCAGGTAATCCTGTTAGGAAGAAAGGACAGTCTGAGCCCCCCACGGCTCGGCCCCCACAGCCCACACCCTAGGGCCCCCGCGGCCCCTGGCGGGATCGGGCCTGTACCTGGGCCAGCTTGACAGTCAGAGCCACCTTGAGACCCTGCACCCGCACTTTCATGGGCAGCATGTAGTAGTAGCTCGTGGGGCCCCGGGGGCCGTGGGCAATGCCTCCTGCAGAGACAGAGGTGTGCGAACAGGTGAGGACCCCCGCTGGGCTTGGGGGCAGAAATCGGTCACAGTGGCTGGTGTAGGGAGGCTGCCCGCAGGCAAACGGAACCGGCAAAGAGGACAGGGCCTCGGGTAGAGATGGGGAGGGATGTTGGATTGAGGATCACCTGGGACAGGTGACTGTGCCTCACTGGGCCTCGATTTCCTCAGCTGTCAAACCCTGAGTGGGGATCCTCTTCCAGGCCCTGGGAGTGCGGCAGGGAACAAGATGGACAGGAGCCCTGCCCTCATGTCATTCATATTCAGACACAGGCTCAACGGCAGAGGGACTCGGGGCTCTCTTTTCGGAGCAGCACGAGGAGTTGCTGGGGGTCAGGGGCCCAAAGGAGGTCAGGGAGGGCTTCCTGGGGGAGGCACAGCCCAAACACATCATAAGGATGAGAGGCATTGGCCACGGGAGGTGAGAGAGGACACGGAATCAGCTGTGTCTGGTCAGAGAGGATGTGGAGGGACAAGGTGGGGGGATCTGCAGGCACCCGTGCCTGGAATGCCAAGGTAGGGAGCTCAGACTTCCTACAAAGGCTACAGGGACTGGGAGGTTTAGGAAGAGCACCCTGGGTGCTGTGTGAAGTGTGGGCCACGAGAAGTGAGACGGGAGTTAGGGCCAAAAGGGGCTGTGGCCATAGTCTGATGAGAGACGCTAAGGCCAGAGCTGGGGAGGGCTGGGAAGGTGGACTCTCAGGTCTCTGATCCGCACATGGGCAGTGAGGTCCGTGGGCCTGAGTCCTGCTGCCCCTGCCCAGGTAGAAGGAATGGGACTGATGAGTTATCACCCCAGATGTGTGCGCAGAATCACCCAGGGCCCCTCCCCTCCCTGCCCCGCTCACCTCCTCGCCAGATTGGGGAGCGGATGCTGCCATGCCTAGAATGCCCACTGCCCTTCTGTGGCCAGGGCTTCCGGCCCCCACCCTTCACCTCGGCCCTAGTCTTGGTCTTGGCGTAGCTCTGCGGGCACAAAGGGAGGAGAGGGTCAGGTTCCCGAGGCAGACACTGTCGAGGCTTAAAGGCACCAGGCCTGGGAATACAGCAGCGAGCCGGGCAGACTGGGGCCACCGCTGGGGAGCCCGGCAGGAGGCACAGAGATTAGGGGGCCGGGACAAGCACACAGCACTTCGGGAGGGAGTGAAGGATAAAGAAATCAAGAGTTCCCTCATCCACTCCAGAATGTCAGCAGCCTCTCTGCTGCCTGGCACACAGCAGGCGCTCAGTAGTTTTTGAATGATTTCAATGTGGTGGCAACTGAAAGGAAGGTGTGGCATAGGGAAAGGTGTGTGCAGAGGCTCAAGAAAATCGGGGAGAGGTATGGGGTGAGGGATTTCCAATGCCAGGCTGAAGACCTCATTTCTAGGACCAGGGTGGACCAGGGAGGAGGACTCCCTAGATTTCTGAGATAAGCAGAAGGGAAACAAAGAGATCCTGATTGATAACGGCTTCTTCAATGCACTTGACAAAAACTCCAAACTATTCACCATCGCTCCTGCTGACCTCTGTGACCACACGAGGCTCCCTTCTGTCCCTGCCGCAGGACTTTTGCATGTGCCGCTCCCGTTAGCGCCACTGCCCCCCTTTACCTAGTTAGCACCTACTACGCACCCGAGGTTAAATGTCTCTTCCTCTGGGACGTCTTCCCTAATCATGTATTTACAGGCATGACTACTCGACTCAAGTTCACCTCTCCAACTAGACTACGAGTGTCGCGAGGATAGAGATCGTGCCTGTCTTGTCCCCCAGCACAGTGTCTCATCTAATGCACAATGGGTGTTCAGAAAACACCTGGCAAGTAACCCATCGGTGAATGGTTCAGGAGAGAAGAGAAGGCCTGAGCCTAGCAGTCCAGGAGCTTCCCTCGGCCTCCCTCCCC